GTAGCAAATACAGATAGATATATACAGTCTCGAAGTAGGACTTCCTTAGAGTCGGCATGCTTGTAACTGACTTCGACAAGAGGTTACCTCACACTATTACTCTACCTCCAACTCAATCACTATCTCTATCTCTGTTCGTATATTCTCTGACTGACTGTCTAACTCTGGGTATTTAACGGCAGCACTCCAAGTAACACTGGTAGAGTCCACATATGAAAAAGGGGAGGACCCCATAACAATTAGATTTAAATAAAAAATTATATTTAGGCTCTACTTTTGTATCAAGCAGTGTTTTTTAAAAATAATAACAAAAATACTAAAGAACTTTGGATTATTTACCTAACGAGTTCTTTCCTATTTTCTATATATTTTTACACACACACACATATATATATATATATATATATATGAAGAAATATAGTTTTAAGGTATGCTATATTTATGGGATAAAGTGCTCAATATCAGGGATAGAGCATATGTAAATATAAAAGTTAACATTAAAGTCAACACTCGAATATGGTTTCATTGGAAGAATTGCAATTCTTCCAATGAAAGCATATTCAGTGAAGTTAAGAAAGACTATGAAACAACGATAAAGACAATGTATTCCTAGCAACACTCACATACACACCACAGAGGACAAAAAATGCCAATAGGAAGAAAAACATCATATGGTTCAACCCACTATACAGCAAAAACATAAAAACAAACATAGGAAAAATATTTATGAAACACTTATATAACACTTCCCTGAATCAAGCCCTTGACACAAAATATTCAATAAAAACACTAAGAATCAGCTACTGAGAACATGATACAAATAATAGGAAAACTATCAACAAACTACCCAAACAAATTAAAACCATCTGTAGCTGCAGATAAAGCATGAGTGTCCCTTAAATGGCAATTGCTTACAAAACAATGTAATATACCAAGCCATGGTAAAAATCATCAGATAATGAAGAAAAAATATACATAGGAGTAACTGAAGGACCCTGGAAACAAATTATGCACACAAAACATCTATCACAAATAGTAAATACACAAACAGCACAATGTTTTCCAAGTATATCTGGGACATCAAAAACAAAAAGCAAATCACACCAAAAACATCATGGAAAACAAGGAAAAGAACATAGCCTACAACAATCAATCCAAAACTGCAAACTCTGCTTGGAGGAAAAAACAGCTATAATTACCTTCCCAGACCAGAATAAACTGCTAAATAAACAATCAGAACTCATCTCAAAATGCAGACATAAAAACAAACTGAAAAGAATAAATAAAACAAAAATAAACAAAAACAAGTAAAATGAATTAATCCAAATAAATAAAGTAAATAATGAACAAATTTACAAACCAATCCCATCAAAATAATCATTAGAATAGACTACCCAATACTACTGTATTGTGTGTTAGCTAAATTTGAATGAGGTTAATGTGTTTTAGGTTTTTCGATTGACATTTGCTTTTAATTATTTTGGTTGTTTTTAGTATATTTTTCATTTTATTATTCTTGTTAAGTAGGTCTAAATTTCTTATCATAATACAGGGGTCACAAAATGCAACAAAAAAAGATATAGTGTTTGTGATATCATTATAGAAGGAAACTACTACACTTCTGAAAACCCCACAATGACATTTACAATTAATAAAAATTTAAACTGCAACTTCAAAAATGTGATTTATGCACTTAGGCGCGCAAAATGTCTTACATAGGTATCAGCCAAGCACTAAACAACAGTTTCCCTGCACAAGAGAAACATCAAATTACCAGACAACAGAAAACTCTTTGTATCACAACAACTCTACAAAATGTAATCAAGGTAAATTTAAAATTATGGCAATATATCAAATAGACAATTATTCTTATCTACAAATACAAGAAAAAAAAAAAAACTTCATAGACAAATTTAAACCAGCACTAAACAGATCATAACCTCTCACACACGCAAACACACACAATGGCTAAATATACTGGTTGGATCACACACACAAGTATTTAAGAAGAACATTATATATATATATATATATATATATATATATATATATATACACACACTGGCAAAAACAAACACAATAGACTACCCACAAGCACAAATGAACCATACACAACATATGAAGCATGTGTTTATATATATATATATATATATATATATATATATTCCTTATAATAAAACAGTATATATATGTATGGAGAAGGAATATACATACAGATACTAACAAAAAGCACACAAAGACACAAAAATGGAGATAAGTCTAAGAAGATACAGGGTTATAAAAAGATAACAATAAAGACCTTCCTCTGGCCATTCCTAATTGTTTTATTACTCCTTAAGCAGAAGAATACTTTTGTCACTCCAGAGAAAAATTTGGGTCATTACTACACACAAAAGACAATGGTTAATCATCAGAAAACATAAGGAAAATTAATTCCTTTTAATAATATGTGGAAATAACCACTCTTTGCTTGATGAAGGTCACATAACTGGAAACTCGTGTAGCAAAAATATGAAAAATAAAGTATAATATATATTTTAAAAACTCCACATTATAACCAAAAACGTTTATGGTTTCGCTCTATAAATATTCACTTTTCTCTTGTTGGAACAACTATAACCTCTCCCTTATATAAGAAAAAAACAAATGCTGGAAACTTTTGCACACAGCTAATATTAATATGGACAATAAGAGAAACAAAAACAAAACATTCAAAAAGAATACATTTGTTGGATGACATCATTTGGAATGATAGTAAATTCATAAAAGAATCAGTGAGAAACAAACTCATGGTTTTTGAGATTAATTTTAAAAACTTTATCCCAAGGCCATAGCAACTGAACACCAATGATATATATATGGACAATGAAGTCAACACCCAGTGGCAACAGTCTGTTTCATGCCTAAATGCAACCTTCAAGCCATCTACATAAATCAATATTGTGCACTTTAACCCCAAAATATAGCCTACCTTAAAGTCATATTTTTGTCATTATATATATATATATATATATATATATAATTTCACACACACACACAATGTAGGTTCTATCCAAACCTAATAAGGAATTTTTATGAAGTATATATAAAAAATTCTGTAAAGAGAGATGTTGCAAGAAAGGTTGAACTTTCTAACCAATAGCCCATAATTATTTTAATTTGTTACAGGTAACAGTGTAGCATTGAATTCCTCCATACATAAAAAGTGTGTCCACTGACAATCACTGATGCTTGCTGAACATTTACAGAGACCAAACAGTGAATGTGAACACATTTAGGTGGTGGGTAATACATGTCATCAGTAATAACAGAGATATGTGTAACAAGCCATATAATGGGCAGATAAGTATAGCTTTCAACTCATCAACTGAAGAGCACCTTGCAAATGCATAGCCCAATGGTGATAACTATGGGTAGTGTTTTGTAGCTGAATACAATAGTGTGATAGTGATAAATAAATAAAAATATAAAATACTAAATAACCACTAATTATTATTACTAGACTATGTAGTAGTCTGGAACTAAAATAATTAATAATAAAAGAAAAATTAAAATTTAAGCAATAAAAATAAAAATGGCAATAAAAAATAAAAAAAGTCAGATTATAAAAAAAAATAAATATAGCATGCATGATGCATCAGAATAAGTGTTTTACCGTCAATTAAAACGAAAATAAAAACTTTCTGTTCATTTCTTTGACAGCTGAAGGAGGCAGACATACTGGACATCTGATAAAACATATTGCCACCAACAGATAAGCAAAATTTTTTTTTATTTCTGTATATGTATATGTTCTCTAAAATATACAATCATTTCTCTGAAATGTATACTAAAGCATTTTGTTTTTGTCTCTACATTTTTTGTTGTATCTCATATATGATTTTGTCTGCAATTTTATAATCCAAAAAAATACATATATAAAAATAATTTACATTTAAACAAGGCCAATGCACAAGAACACCCACTAAAGTGTTATCATGCTTTTTGCATCTCTTATAGTTTTCCAGGAAATATGTCATTATTTTTATTTGTGTATGTGTGTGTGTGTATTTTATATATGACATTTGATTGTCTATTGTCTAGATAGGTAAGAAAAACATTGATAAAAATATTTCAATCTTCACTGGTAAAAGATGAACTCTGGATGACTAGCAGAGAATAGTAATCAGTAAACTGGTCTTGAAGTGTTGGGAGTTCTCATCTTATAGAATGTTTCAACCTTGTGACTCAACTCAAGTTTATAAATATTTATAAGCCAAAATTTACACAAGTCAATAAAGTTTGAGAAAGTGTGTAAATAGGGCAACTAAAATTAACAATGATTCAAGCGATGTGATAATGACATTTATTTTCTCCCGTCAATGCTCAGGTAAAAATAAGAGTTAAAGAGACACATAAGGCTAAATAAATTGAAAAGAAATCATGTACAATTCCCAATTAAAATGACCAGCAAAGAGATATGACACAAAAATATGCTCAATACAGTGAAAAATCATAAATCATTTAGCAGAGAAACTTATTCCAACCAAAAGTCTTTGACTTAGGTAGGCAGTTATTCATTAGTATAGTCTTAGTTCTTCATGAATAACAAAGCTTTTGTTTTTTTCTATATGGATGGCTAATAAATGAATTTACATGCACCTCTGGTTTCACATACATGTTCTGCAAAAAGCATACCACATCTATTTCAGTAGATATCAATTATTCTGTATAAAATACAGAGATGTCTACTCAAACATGTGTAGCTACTAAATATAAAATGTGTATTAATGAAAAATAATGTTGGATTAATACATTCATTAATTTCTTAGATATTATTATATGTAAATACATTGCAAATTGTTTAATATTTTAACCATATTCTGTCAGTAATATCAACAATATTTCATTACAATATAGATACTGAATGCTGAAAATCTAGTGAAGTATGACATGACCACTTCACAGTATTACAATAGATTTACAAAATAAAGTTAGTGCTCTTTATGAATATTACTCACCAGCTGTAATCTATTTTCTGTTTTGGGTACTCAAGCTGAATTTCTATCACAAAAGGTATCCAGACAAGTTTGACATCTTCATGATCATCGACGTTGTTAAAAGAATGACTGAGACCAACTTTTGACTTAGCATATTTAAGAAATTTCTTCCGGAAAATCCTAGACAATGCAAGTTCATGGGCAGCACAAGAAGCCACATGGCTATCAAGGGTAAGGCACATTTGATGGATGGGGCACAGCTGGAAATAAGATTCTTGTCTTGGCATTTGATGTCTTTTCAGATAACAACATTTCAAGATTCCTGGTTTTGCCTTTGAATTTCTTTCAAGGTCATCTTTTGATGATGTATTGCCATTCTCATTACCTGTGCACAGTTCTGGGGTGCAGTCAAAAAGAGAAGTAGCTGGGGAATGTTTTACCTGACTTAGAACCAAAAAGAGGCGCTGGGTTTCTTCATTGTATTCTATCCGAGAGTCAGATTCAAATCGTGAGGGGTAAAGTTTTCGGGTAAACAGTTTAAAATCATGGAGGGAATTTTTGGTGTAGAAATAAATCAATACTGTTGCCATATTTAACCTGAGAAAATTTTTCTTTCTTTCTTTAGAGCAAAATTTTGAAAAAAATCCGTGAAATCTTGAGTATGCTGCCTGAGTGGTTGGAAAACCTTTCAGTTCATTTCACTGAAATCAAAAGAAAAATATGTAGTCAAGAATTACTAAATTAACCACATGAAAAAGAATTTCTCACACAATAAAAGAATATTGCAGAATTATATGCATAAAAGTCCTCTGTCAGCAATATTTGCCTTAATTCTGATTACAAAAAAAATCCTTTCTGATTTTCAATATACAAAATTAAGATTGAGTTCTGGAACATGACTAAACATATTCTGTCTGAATTTCTGGGATTAGGAATTATTTACATTACTTACACTCTGACTATTGTCCCCCATCTTTGTTGTTGTCAACACAAGGTTTCAGTCAACAATCAAGTGGATGGTTTGTGAATTTAATGATATAATAATTGTGAGTTCAATCTTTGGGCTGGCTAGTACAGATTTAGACTCAATGAAAGCAGAATGAGCAGTAACTAAAGAATACTAAATAAGAACAGGGCAAGATATCTTCAGACATGGGCAGGGAAATGATAACAATCTACCCCCATAGATTAAAGGGACCATTTGAAATTCCCCGAAGGTTATCTGGATCAACAAACACCTGATGAAGACTAGAGAGCACAATGGCCAAGACAGTGTGATAACAACAACAAAGATGAGCACAATTGTTTGACAGTAAACAATGTAAGTAATAACCAAACAAATTTTAAGTAAAAAAATATAATAATAATCAACCAAATTTTCTTTCTTCTCAGCTATAAGGCTAGATTCTAATTTAGTGTTCTGTTTTCACATCAGTATTATTTTGAATTAAGATTAGTCAGTTATAAATGAAATAAAAGGCTATGGTGGTTCTTCTGTTAGAAAAAAGTAGGTAATGTTTCAAGGTGTACTGTATTGCATTTCAGTAGCTTAGAACAGCATTTTTCAAACGTTTTTAATGCAAACCACAGCAAGAACAACATTTTACATTGTGACCCATTATACCCCTTCTGTGTAATAAATCAAAGACAAACTCTGTTCACTAGGTTCATTTATATGTATATTTCTTATCATCCACACATATTAGAATTACATGTATCTATTTGTATTATCTATTTGTATGAACATAAAATTATTACTTTTAGAAAAACAAATTTAAAGGAAATCCCGACACAAAGGTAAAGTAAATAATATTTTTTAAAAATGTCATTTAAGGAGATAGATGTGCTTGTTTGTTTATAAGCAGGTGATTCCAATTGGAGACACAGGAAGACAATGCTACACGCATATCAGGTGCAGTGTTGAGCCTCTTTCTGTCCTTCATCTTAAATTTATTTAATATGGAAAATCTCAGTTCACGCAAGTAGTTGTAAAAGGTAACACCTTTGTAGCTAAGTTTTTGTGCGATGTCTTTTTGTGAGAGAGAACTGATGTCACTCAGTTTGCAACAAGTTTGACGAAGAAGATACATAAATTCAATGAGAACAGACTATATATAATTATATAAAAAAATATTAAAATAAAATATAATATAATATGAGCTTACCTTGGTGGAAAACTAGCAATGATTTATGCGTGCTGTGCAACATTTAGAGTTGTTTATATTCTACATTTTGCTCTCACTTGTATACTTTTTTTCTTTTTAGTTGCAACCTATTTTATTTATCTCACAACCAATTGAAGGGTCGGGACCCATAGTTTGAAAAACCCTGGCTTAGAAGTTAAAGAAAATTTAATTTTTATATTAAAAAGAAAATTTTACTATAGCAAGTTGTTTATTGGATGATGTAACAGACTGGCATAGAAAATGGATCAATGGGCCAAGTTCAAATTCTGGCCTAGTCCATTGCACTCTTGCATAATGTGTCCTTAGGAAAGGTAGGAATCTTCCTGTTATAGGTCAACTAGTAAGGCAGCGTGTGATCTAAAAAAAGTTTAGTACAAGTCTGAATTCTGAACTAGAGAGAATGTAATGGAAATGATTCTCTATTCTTACCCCCCCAAAAAAAACATGTAAAGGAATCTGTGAAGAGACATGATCACCTAATTAGTGATAGAGCTTAGCATCAAAAGAAAAAAAATGGCAAAAACCACAGAATACCCTACACTACAGTATTAAAACAAAAACAACACTAGAAGTTTTATAGAGCATGTGATAATTTTTGCTAAAAGATTGTTTAAAAAAAGATTTACCTGTACAGTTCATCGCGATAAAAAGGGGGTCCATTGTTTCTGTAATAAACTTTTTCGTAAAAAAGATAAAAAAATATGTTTCAGGTAAGGATGTGAAAAATCGTAAAATTGTTAGCATATGACCCACTGATCAGATCGAGCAAGAAGCCTTTGCCTACTTCAATTCTTAGAGTTGAGTCGTGGTAGGTGGGGAGAGAGATAATCTACTAATCTTTGGCCTGTTTGAATTACTGAATGGCAAATTACAATTGTTATAATATTCAAACTAATGTGGCCATCTTTGGTTGTTATTATTAATGTTTTTTTCGGTAATGTCCCGCTTTGGACATATTCAGATGTCGCTAGTATTTTCAGTTTATTCATTAACATGAATCTTAAGTCCTAAAGTAGTTCTCGACACGATTCACTCATAAAATTTAATAAAAGATTTTTTTTTTTTTTTTGGAAATAGCATCATAAAGAATTATTGTCCGATATGAAATATCCCACTATCATAGTCGGCGAAATAAATAACAAAACAATCTACACTCGTGCACAGGTACTGAAAAAACTAAATTTGTTCGAAATTAGTAGTAGATGATGTTTGGGAATACGACAAAGACCTAAAAAAGGCCGGAGAGTACAACAGCACAAAAGGTTAACCGTTACGATGACCAAAAACCAATATGAAGATATAATTATTAAATTATAAAAACACTAGGAATATCGCACCTTTCCTTCATACGTTGGAAATCACAGGATTTCACAAAATATTTTTTTTCACCAGTTTAAAAAACAAAGAAAACTAGTTTTGACTTTCTTTTTTTTTTTTTTATTCACGCAAAAGATTGTTTTTAAAAATTTCTGTTTTCTATAGAGAAAGTAATAATAAGATACGCAGGTTTCAGAGTCAAAAGGGTACATCATTAAGTTTAAGATTTTTAAAAAGTTAAAAGAACTTATGTTTTAGTTTTCTTGAAATTAATTAAAAAAATTCTGTCAAAGTATTTTCGGCGGCTTCAAATGAATTAATAAATAAAAACAGTAACAGGGAGTAGATATAAAGACTGAATAAAAATAATCCCAAACATAATTCTCTTCAGCATGTTTTATGTACGAGTGTCATTGCCACGTGACCCAACAAAGAGAGAGATAATACAAAACAAATTATTACTAAATAATACATAAATTACTTAAAAAATTTATATAAATTTTAAAGGTTCAAATAATAAAATAAATATATCGGTATCAAATTTCTGTGTTAACGGAAATTCATTTATTTTCTACATTAAAGATGAATTCGATTTGTGTTATTCAAGTTTCAAATAAGTTGTAAAATGAAACAAGTCAAAAAATTTGCCTTTTTTTAGCAAAAAAAAAAAAAAAAAAAGATTAGTAAAAGGAGAAAAATCAAAACAAAGATCGACAACAAAAATAGCTTTTAAAGCTTAATTAGCAAAACGGTAAAAGACAAAAAGGTTAACTTAACGCGCAATCAGTTTCTTTTTAAAATAATTTAAAAAATAAACGTTATTCGATATTTTTTGTTTTGTTTTTTTTTGTATCTTTCCGATTAAAAAAAAAATCTAAAACAAATTTGTTGCTTTTTAGCTACAAAATAAATACCTTACTTCGGAAGCTGTTGTTAGACTTTAGGAAAATTAATTAGAATATTGATAAAAAAATAGAACTCTAAATACTATTACGTACCTGGTAATTAAAGAAAATTTTGTTATATGATGTCGACCGGGACTTGCGATATTGAACAATTCCTCACATGGATGATATCAAAAAGTTTTTTTTTTTTTTTTTCTTTTTCCTTTTTCAAATCAAGAACAGTAACTCTAAATAACTATTTCTTTTTATCTCCCTTGAACACGATTCACTATCTCTTGTAGCTATATTTTATTTTATCTGTTCGAGATGACAGCTCGATTTCGTCATCAATAATTGAATAAGAAAGTTAAAACAAAACAAAAGCAACTTCATCTCTTGAATAAAATAAATAAATTAAGATAAATAAAAGGACCAAATAAAAAGACAGCTAAAAGTAGAAAGTCCATGAATTATTATGATTTTATTAACTTTAAAAAGTAAATATCAAAAGTTTAAAAAATGCAACAAAATTTGTAATTTATTTATTTTATTTCATTTATAAATACAACATTGAATAATTTCTTCATCTTGCATCTGCTGATGAAGATCAAAGTTTGGAACATCAGAGTACAAGATCAAAAGCTTGAAATTCTATCTCTGACTCAACTTGTAGCAGTCCTGTAATGATCATCATCATCATCATCATCATCATCACACACATACATACATACATACTTACGCAAATTCAAATTATACAACCACAAGCATTCATTGGATAATAAATCAACATTACTGTGTAATGGACAATTTATAAATCACAGCTATGTGATAATTTTACAATTGCTATATTTTCAT